GGATTGCAGGGAAGCTTTAGTCTGTTAGCTGGTTCACAAGCTTTTTGTTATCTTTACATCCCTGTCTCACCCATTACTCTGGTTCCATTTTCTTTACATTGCCTTGAGCATGCACATTCCTGATCCACTTCTCACAGGTTTCAGACTTTGAAGTGAGCTGTCATTTCAGACATGATGCTGATCTTGGATGTCACCAGGGCTTGCTTAGCATCTGTGGCAAAGCCCTGAAGTGGTCCCTTTCCAGTCAGGCAGAGCCTTCACCTTATTCTTTATTGCAGTTCTGAAGTATTCCCAAGTTAGATGTGTCCATAAACACAGCCACTTTTAATATAACCTGCCCTTGGCTCGTTCTCCTCACCATCTGCAGCCACTGTGGAAGCCCCTGCTTCCCTTTCTGAGGAGTTTCTGCTGCTCTCCGGAGACAAGAGAAGATGGGGAACCTCAGGAAGGTATACACTCAGTCCAGACAGAGGGGCCAGTACAGAAGCTGGCTACCTCTTCTCAGTGTGCTGGATGAAGGATTGGGAAGTCTTAGGTCCCAGGATCCAGGTGACTGCAGCAACAGTCTTGCCCTGTGTCCAGGGAAAGATTTGTTCTGTGGTTTAATGGAATCTATGGTAGAAAAAGCATTTCATAAAATGGTTTTTACTGTATTTGGAAAAATCCACCCTCTAGCCAGATGGATCAGAAGTAATATTTTTTCCAGAAGTGTCCATATGTTTTGAGACACACTAGCAAAGCCAAGCCCAGAAATGTCAATTTGCTAAAAGTAGGGCAAAACCACATTTTCTTCTTGGAGAAACTCAAGATCTTGGGGGGGGGGTGAGGTTTGGACGTGTCACTTTGGACTGTGTGGAGGCAGAGTTGCCATCTGGACACAGACTAGTAGCTCTGGAGAGGACACCACCCTGCCTCTGGGCCTTCCAGAACTCAGCTCTCTACAAGGTCCTGACCTTCTTGTGATGACATTGGGAGATGCAAATAAACACTGGCTTGTCATCCATCAGAGACTGAAGCATTTTGAAAAGTGCTGGGCAGTTTTGAGCTTTGAGAATCTGATGTTGGGAGCAAAGAGCAAACTTGTCACTAAGAAGCCAGAGTCCTGAAAATAGAGATACTTGCTGACTCTGGGATTATTGACAACCCACCCAGCCAAGCCCCTGAACTCTGTAGCTAGTGCTCCTTCTTCATCTTCTTAAATCAAAGTTCTTTTCAGAAGTATATTTGAGACTGTGCTTGTAAGTCTGGAAGTTTGTCTTTAGCCAGGCCAAGCTTTCACAGTGAAACCTAAGCAATCCGGCAGTTGGGGGGACATCAATTATTTTTAAGTTCCTTAAATCATCTGGTGGTGATGGGGAATTTCCAGGTGCTGAGCAAGCTGTGTGGAGATCACTGAGTGACTGACATGCTAACCACTAGGGTCTGTAAACCCCCATAGCTTGATCAAATCAAAGGCACTGTCAGGTTCTGCTGGCAGCATGCAAAGTACCAGGCACTCCGTGTTCACTTGCCAAATGCTCGTCCAGTGAAAGGCTGGCTGCCCTCAGCATGCTCACATGAACTGAATCCTGATGTCCACCAGGCAAGTCACACAGCTCTTCTTCGTCTCAGGTAGCTAGTGTTCATTCCCCTGATAAGGACAGCAGCGGTGCATCTTAAAAAGCACTCTGTCAAGAGAACATTTTATGCAGAGATCTGAGGTCTTAATATTGCAGCATTGATTGTTGCATGTGGAGAAGGCCAAGGAGGTGATGTTCCTCCTGCCATACACTGGGTTGTGGGAAAGTCCTTACTACATCAGAATGCCTTAGTGCTGTCAGTGTGAAACAGTTGCTAAGGACCCAGGGGAAGCAAACTGTCAATACACCTTTGATGGGTATAAATCCATACCGTTGCAGATCAAAGTACATTTAATTAAACTGAGCCACTCATTAACAAAATTGAGAAATCTGGCTCCAAATGCACACCGTTAAGTTATAACTTGAACTTTTTGAATACAAGGAACCATTAGGAAACCTAATCCAGGAAGCCCAGGACAGAGACACACAACACAGACATTTGTCAAAGATGTGTTTCCTCTCACTTTGCACAGTGCAGTCTCATTCCTCTCATTCATCTCTGCGTCTGTTGCCTCTTCCTCCCTCCCCCCCTCCCTATTGCTTCTTCATAAATTAATCTCTTTTAAGAAAGGAACTCTTTGCCACCCAATAAACTGATTTAGTAATTCCCTATTAGGTCAAATTCCACTTTCACATGCATCTTCTGAGCTCTTGTTCTGGTTTCTAGGAAGAAACCCAGAGGGGTGAGCGAACAGCCACATTAGGCAATCAATGGTGCTCTGCCATAGCCCACGGCAGGGTCAGAAGGAATGGCCATGGCAGGCAGAGCCAGGCATACCTACAACATCAAGAGGAGCGCTCACCACTACTGCCTCCCTCTCCAAGTCAAAGGCAGAGAGAGCCACCCTGCGGCCCAGCACACACAGTGTCGGGAGGAGTAGCCATTGGTAGACATTCGGAAGCTCTAGACCTGTCTGTAAACTCAGGTGTGTCTCAGAACTGCAGTAGGGGACTTGTCCTCAGAGGATGTGTGCAGTTCGACTCGTTAATTGTCGGCCAAACATCAGCTTCATAGTGGACTGTTTTTAAAAAGCCAGGGCAGGAGCAGGGGGGAGGCTGCTTTAAAAGAGGTAAATGGTCAATGTAAAATTTGGAATAATTTTACCTGAGTGAGGAGAGGGTGGGGAGAGAGGACACATTTGGGAAAAAGAACAGGAGGACCTCGGGTGCACAGAGGCATTCTGCATCATGGCCTCTGTGTCGGCACATGGACGCCCTGGCTTGGTTCACGAGCACTACATGTGTGCTGTTTTACACATGAAATACAATAAGATAAAAATATTAAGTCACAAGTAATAAAAATATTAGGGATATTTAGCTGGGTGTGATTGTACATGCCTGTAACCCCAGGACTTGGAAAGTTGAGCTAGGATCTAAGCCCAGCCTATGTTACCTGAGACCCTTTTTTAAAAATTTCAAGTATTTAGATATTTTTATTGTTGGTTTTCATCTTTTTAAGACTAAGTAAGTCTCATGATATAGGTCGGCCTGATCTGGAACTCACACTCTTCCTGCCTCAGCTTCTCGATTACTGTGACTATAGGCATGGAACAGCACTCCCTGTTAGAATGTTTAAGTAAAGTAATGTTCATAGGATATTAAATATGGCGCTGAGTGGGTTTTTCAGGGGCTGAGGAGACGGCTCAGTGAGTAAACTGTTTCTGTACAGCTTCAAGGCTTGGGTTTAAGTCCTAGGACTCACATAAAAGCTGAGCATGATGTTCTGTCTTTAACCCCAGCTCTGGGAGGGTGGAGATAGAGAAATACTGGGGACTGGCTGGCCAGTAAGTCTAGACAAAACAATGAGCTCCAGGTTCAGTGGGAAACCTGTCTCAAAAGTAAGGTGGAGGATGAGAAAGGCACCCAACATCAACCTTTAGCCTCCACGAAATTATGCATGGGCAACTGCACCTGCACATACATGTGTACATCAAGGACATGCACACACACACACACACACACACACACACACACACACACATGCATACATCACACACATACACTCCATACATACATGCTCACATGCACATACCACACACATGCACACACCACACACACACACACACACACACACACACACACACACACAGGCATGCGCACATGCATCCTGGGTGTGTGTATAAGTCAAAAGACCATGGTGTTGGTCTTTCCCTTTCTCCTAGAGACAGTGTCTCTTGTGAGCTGCTGTGCGCTCCAGGCTAGCTGGCCCTCAAGCTTCAGAGAGTTCTCCTGTCTCCATCTCTCATCTTTCTGTAGGAATGCTGGAACTATGGATGTGCACAATCACCTCTAGCCTTGAATAGAACAAAGGGGATCTTAACTCAAGTCCTCCTGCTTACAAGCCAAGTGCTCTGTCCACTGATACAACTTCTCAGTTCCCTGGTCTATATATGTTAGAGTTGTCCAGCCCTCAGTTCCCTGGTCTATATATGTTAGAGTTGTCCAACCCTCAGTTCCCTGGTCTATATATGTTAGAGTTGTCCAACC